ATCATCTATTCCACAAGGAATTTCCCAGATGACTCACTCTGACCTACAACTAGTACCTTTCATTGCCTGCTTTTATTGGCTAGTGAGAAAACAAAACATAACAAAAATGACACCACATTCAACTAAGACCTCAGAAGCCTGAAAAGGATAATTCTGATCTAACAGGCAACTCAGCCATTTCATGACAAAGTTCTTTTAACTCCTAGTAACAATAACCAGCATCTACCACACCACAGCAGCAAATAGGGACCAAAAGCTCCCATAACCAGCCCCCTTGCCTCCTTCATGAGACAGGCTCATCCCAGCTTGAGCGTACTCTCCTCTCACTGGTACATCTCCGTGATCACTCAAGACCCACACCCTTCACAGAGGGTCAAAATTTGAAAGGACAAGTAGGCCAACCTCATATTCTAGCTGCCAGCAGAACCGGATCTGCCAGAGATGGCAATGTAACACCATTCACCAGCACTGAACCAGAGATGACAAGAGGTTGAACAGAAAGACACATACTTTTGTGCTTGGTTTTATGGACTTTTGCCTTAAGGGTCCAAACAGCAGAGAACAGGGGAGAGGGGAAAAAGGTAGTATAAAGTTATGACTCAGTGGCAGCATTTAATCGTTGTGAAGATCCTGCTTATGTACCTAAACATTTATTCCCCCAGCATATGGTTTCAGTCAGTATCTGTTACTTTTCTGGGAAGATCACAGACCTCTTTGGGTTTACATATCAGTCCCTACATATATACTCAAGGCAACAAAACCCAAAGAACTTCACTGAGCTGCATGGACTCTCAAGATCCATGTGCAGCAAAGACATGAGTTAAATTCCTGGAGCTTCACTTTGGCTTCCTACTCTGCCCTGATCCAAGTGCTTCCTTTTGTAGCACACTGTTGCAATGTTCTCTTTGGAGTATTTACAATACAGACAGCAGTCAAACATATATGGCAACACAAAGACACTTTCCTAACAACACAACAAGCAAGAAATAATACCAAAATAGGTTTATGAGATGTTTGAAGAAATAATAGAACGAGGTTGTTCTACTTCAAACTCATAACTTGTCGTATAAAATAATTTGTTGCAAAAAACAGTCATGCTATAATTAGTCTGAATTATGTTCTCAACTGACTAATGCCTCAAGGATTTATACTCATCTATTTTAAGTTCTACCGTGCAAGAACCCATTTTTACATCATCAGCTCAAGTCAGACTAGGTAAATACCAATTACTCCATTGCACAAAGTACACTCTGTGTGGGAAATCCTACACAACTAAAGCAATAGTGTAACATTCAGTACTCTAAAACAGTTACTAGAAAAACACCTAATTGTTCATTTTACACCACTGATTTTTAATTAGCTTCTGTGCCCAGGCCTGAAGTGCAGAGCCAGGGAGTGGTCCCGCTGCGAAAGCAGAGGGCTCCAGCGCTCCCCAGCCCTGCGAGGCAACAGAAACAAAAGGACGACAGAAGTTTTCCATTAGGGCCCCTGCCAGTACTTCCTACATGTTCATCGTTCGGGCTGCAGAAGCAGCCAAATACCACCAAGCTGTTCAAGTGACAACTCCACACTTACAGGCACACTGACAGGACCTGCACGGGACCTTAGTTAAAAGCTGTATGGATGTACCCTACGCTGCACACGAAACCTCTGTGCTCTGCACCTGGCTGACAGCCTTGGGACTCCCCAGCTGAAAGACAGGTAAATATGAGTGTGCAAATACATGAACTTTTCCTTAAAGGGGACAGCTTCATGCTTTCTAGACAGTGAAGGGCTTACACACACAGCCGTCCAGCAATGCTAGGAAGATTATTACTTGTCAGTGAGCAAATGGATGTGCTTTGTTCATTCCTGACTATAAAGAATTACTGATTTTCAGCTGATTGATTAATTCATTCCAGGAACTGACTTATTCAAGAAAAAAACAATTTTGCATAGCAAACTAGAAAGCCAGGTATTTCACAACAACCATAAACAAGGGAAGTTAAAAGAAAGCAAGACTATGGCCTTCAAATCTAGTCTGTGCACAGGATCAGCAAACTTTAACCCTTAAAGCTTATTACTGAAAAAGAAGTGTTTTTCCCCCTAAAGTGTAACATTTGTAAGATACATTTAGTCTCCTAGCTAATGGAAAACTGAGTATTTTCAAAACACCATCAAGTGCAGCCAATAACCAGTTATTTGGACTATAGATAGGCACAGTGTTTACAGAATGAGTGCAATAAAGTTGTTCTCTCTAGCAACAATAAAAGGGATATTCACACCATCTGCTTTAGGCAACTTAAGCACCTAATTTAGAGCAACTTGCTAGGCCAAAGTCAGAAATCTAACATGCTTTTTTACCCAAGCGAGAGGTCTTTGGGAAAGTGAATTAGATGTATAAATTAATCACAGCTAGTATCGCTTTGCATGCATATTCACTGAACAGCTATAGGAAAGTTTAGCACAAACAGAGGCCTTGCAAAGATTTAAAACTAATTTGAATCTTTAATATGGGATTAATTTGGTTGACAGTTCTTAAACCTGCCAGAAAGAAGCTGGGATCCAAAAGCCTGAAATCGGAGGCCCACCTCTCCTAATGATGAAATGAATACTAATTAATGGCTCCAAAGAAGGAAAGAAACTGTTAAATCTAGTGCTTCCTTAAGACAACAGCTGAGCTAAAGCTAGAACAGAGCGACCTACTGGTAACACTTTCCCAGTGCCCTCAGAAAATAACCACCCATGCTTTGTAGTAAAAAAAAAAAGCTTTTAACCTTCCCTATTACCAAATAAGACAGCATCTTCTCTCTCAAACAGACACCATGTAAGGAAAAAAAGGAAGCAATGTCTAGGAAGGACTTCTTTCCATTTCTTTGTATATCTTAGAAAAGAATGTTGCTACCAATCGGACAGCCCAGTGACTCTCTGCACTGCACAGGCAACAGCCAGGTAGCGGGACTGTGTGGGGCTGTGTTTGTTTTTTTCAAAAAAACCCTGAAGTCTACTCAGTATAAGTCCTTACAATCTAATGGTTAGCACTGGTCCACACTCAGCATCTGTGACAGCTGAATAGTATGAATACAATTTCACACATACACACAAAAAAACAGCTGCTAAGCATAGGCAGGATTGGCTGCCTGCTCATCACAAGCACATAGTAAAATTGTCTCTTAGAAGGACACCAGCAAGTCCCACTCTGACCCGTAACTGACTTGACGCTTGTCCCAGCCAGGATCTAACCTCCTATCAAGATTCTGTAGTGAGCTCTGATAAAATCTGGAACAAACATGAAGCAACAATAGAAGTAATAAACTGTAAATACTTGCTGCTGCCCTTTTACTTACTTATCTACCGCTTGCGGTACTGTACCACATTCTCCCCAGCTTGGGGAACTGCCTGAAGGAAATTCAGCATTTACATCAAACACACCTGCTTTCAAGTAAACTGGCAACAGCAAAACCAAAGGGACCACCTCAGCTTTGGTGCATGACAACAACTCAGTTTTCAAATGGGTGAAAGTGTTGCTCACAGGAGCATAAACATGCAGCTTTTTCTTTTTCTTTTTAAAAAGGCTTTTGCTACTTTCTTTGAAAGCAAACCAAAACAAAAGTCACTACATACAGCTGACAAGTCTCCACCCTTATTTCCAATAGTTTATATAATACAATTTTATAATATATCCAATGTTTCAAGGTAGCAGACATAAAAGTATGAAATAAAAGAAATTACATTGGTGCTGTTACTCAGTTGTATACTTAATTCAAGGGAAGCCTTTAACTGCAATTTGAAGCTGACAGGGAAGTTTCTATGGTCGATTACACAGAGCCTTGGCTAAATATAAATTAAACTTTCAAGTTCTTAAAAAGCCCTGCTCTTCCTGTAGCTGCCATTAAACCATCTGCTCTTTTTAATTACATCTCTGCTTTAACTATAGCTTCCTTTTTTTTATCCCTAGATCGCTACCACAGAACTAAGATAGGCTCTATCTTAGCTCTGATTAACGTAACGTTATTGAACAGACCCTCTAGACACTTCATCTTCTGAAACTTGCTAGACATCTAGGAAACAGCATCTCCTGTGGCCTTCAAACCAGAAAGACCTCTTGGCTTGACTTTCTGTAGTAGATTGGATTATGTGTTTTAAGTTGTTATCTAACACTACAGTCTTTATAATATTTTTCTTTAATATACTGACTACATAAATACCTCCATAAGACAGCTCCATCACACCATGGTTTTCCTATATCTTTTAGTGACTTTTGACGTTTCACAGAATTTCCAGTCTGGCAATTCAAAACTTCTGGGGACTATAGAGAACAAGCTAAAGAAGTGACATAGTGTATCAATGAGTGTGATGACTACTCCAGAAATTTTAAGTCCAGATTCACAGAGACATTTTGGCTCTTAACCTCATACTGAGGTCAGGCAACAGAAAGGTATATAAATACCATTGTTGACATAGACATAAAATCATTGCGCCCTTCAAACTCTTCCTGAATCTGTATTATTTATGGCATACTGTATTATATACGACGCTTTGGGGGCGCGGTGGGTGGGAGGAAGTCACAAGAGTAGCTACAGAGGCACTTTCAGGAAGAAGAAATTCAGCAGAAATGCAGTGGGGACTGGGCCACAGGCAAAACTAGAAGCAATGCCCAGTGCAAGTTATCTGTTTCATCAGTGGGAGGAGAGTGGTCCACATGACTCTTACAGCAGCTCTAAAACCAGGAAGTTAGAGAAATAGCCAAGCATTTGGGGAAAGCATTCATGCACTCAAGCTTTATAGCAGCCATACACTAGCACCAGTTTTGTACCGTTTCTGATGTTACTGTGCACCAGTAGAGCACTGACTCACTCAACAGAAAATACTCTGTGCTGGGGCAAGGGGGTGTCAGGGAATGAACCCCCTCACCTCCTACAGCAGCCAGGCTTTTAGATACACAAAAAACTACTAATTAGCTCCTTCATCAAAACACACTGCACCACCACTTTCCCCTCTTGTAACTCTTCTCTCCACACCTTCACCTCAGTCCTTCTGCTCCAATGCATCTGTCCCCATTCCTGGCTGAGCTGCTCTCCGTGCTTCTGCTGCTCCCTTCAGAAGATCTCTCCCTCAACCCCTTCTCCTTACCAGGAAGAGGCTTCCAGGAACTACCATTAATCTGATAAACGAGGCAAAAACATCCCAAGAAGATACTCCCCACTGCCCAGCCTCCCTTCTCCAGAAACAGGATGGGGACAGGGAAGAAAAGTGCTTTTCTGAATATGGAGATGTTTATGCTGTTTTCTGTCTTACGTATAGTTAGAGATGTTTTCTGTCTTACACAAGGTATAGCAAAAGTTTAAGAGTTTCTGTTTTAAGACACTTTTAAGTATGTGCAGCGTAAGAAAAAGTAAAGCACATTACAAGCACTTTGTAGAAAGGGACGTTTGGTAAAAAGAAAGCATTGTGTGACGGCTCTGACAAGACTACCATCTTAGGCTTCTTCCTCTTGTTAACCATACGCATCAAAATCACAAGCTCAAGATAAGCTGAGGGCACAGGCAAAACGCCGAACTGCAACTGCGAGAGCAAAACACTCATTTTCCTCTGAAACCACCTCATTTGCCTATGAAGCAAGAGCAGCTTTCTACGAACCGCGGAGCTGCCGCGGGCCCCGACCTCCCCGGACACCAGCCCCGGGGCCGCTGTCTGTCACCCCGAGTGCGCCACGGCCGCTGCTGCCGCCCCCTCCGGGCGGACGCCGCTGCCCCGTCACCCCGGGGACACCGGCCC